GCTTCTGTGACATTTGGCATTGTGGCAGTGCCTGTCATCATTGCAGCGTGTGCACTTGGTGTGCACTCTGACATTCCATGTTAGAGTTGTTGTGACACTTTGTGCTGGGAAGTGGAGTATTGAGACTTGTCTTAAAAGAGACAGTCTCAAGAAAAGAGAGGCATTTGATAAATAACAGAGAATAACAGCAATTATTTAGGCATGTTTTAAAAGGAAGGTGAATAGCTCAGAGTAATGAAATTCAACAGCACTTAATTGAAGCACAAGAGGAGATGCCTTTATGCCTAATATCTCAATCTACACTGTGTTATTGAAAGAATTGTTAAGAAGCTTGTAGTTCATTGTAGGTCTCAGGACTGATCAAAGTACCAAGGCCTGAACAGGCTGTGATCAAGGCCTGAACAGGCCACGAGGCAAAGTTCACCTCTAGATGAACCTTCCAACCAAATGTTATATTTGTATTCACTCCTTAAGGAAGCATTATTGACAACATGATCAGTGTATGTGTCCCTTGATAAAACGTGGATTTATCTTTCTGTATTTAGAAACCAGACCAGGCCCCATCTGGCCTTGTTTGGGGCTGAAGGATCAAAGTCAACTCCCTTGGTTCCTTTTTGAGCCCTGGCCAGGCTTTGGGAGAAACCAATGAGGAGAATGAAACCAGATGTTGCCACACTAGCAGTGATGTCAGCTGGTTTGTTTAAAAGTGTAAAAGCTGTGTCCTCTCCCAGTGGGCTTGGAGCCTCCTTGCCTGCAGAGGTGGAGGTACCTGCAGGAATTCCCAGTGTCTGGGAGTGGCTCTGCAGTCCTTGGTTTCCCCAGCTGATGTGTGGATCGGGCTGATGGTAAAGTCTGAGGGGAACTGCTGATGGATCTTTCTTTAATCACTGCAGGCAATCTTTGGTAGTCATGAATGGATGGATTGCTGAGCTTCTTTTGTAATTCTTTGCTAATGATGATGTGCTTTGCTGAGCTTATCCTTTTGTAATTCTTTGCAGCTGTGCCGTGACATAAATGACACAATTCCTTAAGTTGGTGTCTGTGTCTTTGGTAGTGACCCTGCCCACTGGTGAAACAGGGCCCCATCTTGCCTAAGTGTTACCTGGGAAGGCAAAAAGCCTCCCTCCAAAATTGCCCCCTTGCTCCTTGTTCCCCCCCTTCATACCCTGAGCATGATGTGCTCTGCTCTGGGCTGTGCCTGGGGTCAGTTGGGGTCACCTGTCCTGGCTGTGTCCCCTGCCAAGCTCCCCCGCAGCCCCAGCCCCTCCCCAGCGTGGCTGGACGAGGGGCAGGACAGGCCTTGGCTGTGCTGCAGCTCAGCAAGAACAAAACCATCTCTGCGTGCTCAGCGCTGTGCTCAGCACCCGGCCCAGCAGTGTCTCAGTGCCAGGGGCTGTGCCCTCAGTGCCTGCCAGGGCTTTCCATGGCAACTGCCAGGCCAGGTGACCCAGGTGTCCCTCCCCAGTGCCGGTTGCCATGGAAACAGTGCCCAGCCCTGCCCCTTTCTGTCTGGCTGACCTGGCCTTTGGCCCTGGCAGTGCCCTTGGCTGCTGGTTCCTGGTGCCTGAGCGGCCAGCGCGGCACAGGGCAGGTGGCCATGGCACAGCCCCCAGCAAGGGATCCCCTCTGGCTCTGGGCACTGACACCAGCCCTGAGCAAGGGGCCCAGGGCAGCTTTCCATGTCCACCAACCACCACAACGGCTCTGGGCATTGCTTGCCATGGCACCAAACCAAGGAACGGGTCCCCGTGGCCGTTGCCATGGCACCTGCTGGCACCAACCAGTGTCACTGCAATTGTACCTGGAACAGCCCTGGCACCGCTTTGTCCTCAGGGTTGCCATGGCAGCCCAGGGCAGCATGGCTGGGGCTCTGCAAGGGCCCTGGGGAGACGGGAAGGAGCAGCAGAGCAGGGGCTGATCCATCCCCAGTGCGCTGCACAGCCCAGGGTAGCGTCCCAGAGCGTCCTCATGGAGCTGCCAACAACATCCCCCCTCTGCAGCCCTGGCCTCTCCCCCAGCTCACACAGGTGCCCCATCCTTGCAGGCACAGACACGGCAGCACTGGCTCAGGAGCCCCCGTTTGCATTGCACAGAGCAGGGGGAGCACCCCCACGCTGTTGCTGTGGGGACATGAACATGAGGGAGCACAAATGCCATCAGCCCCTGGGGCCAGCAAGGGCTGGGGAATGGCAGGGAAACCACCCAGGTTTGTTCTGGCCTCTGCAGTCAGCCAGAAAGTTTGTTCCCATCAGCTGGGAGTTTCCTGTCCCACCGCAGACGCTGTTGCTCAGAGCCAGGGCTGCCTGGCAGCCACCCAACAAACTGCCCTGAGCATTTCCTTGGCTTCACCTTTGCTTTCTTTCCTTTGCCTGATACAAATTTCTTCCAATTGCCCACCCCTGCTCCCTCCCCTGCAAACAGCCCATCCCTGTTTGCCCTTCCCTCTCTGGCCCCACTCCCCATTTCAGTTCCTGGCTTGGCCCCATGGGAATGTCCCTTGGGGAGCAGGATCATCCTACAAGTGCTGCAGGAATCTCCTGCAGTGCCTGGTGCTGCTCCCTTGCCAGAGGCACCCCAGGCCAGGGGGGCACATCTGGGCTCCTGTGTCTGGCTCTGGGGCTCCCTGTTCTGGGCAATGAGGAGGAGCTGCAGAGGCTCTGCACGACTGACAGGATGGGCTTTGGGGCTGCCAGGAGAAGCTGAGGGACCTGAGCTGCTGGAGCTCCTGAAGAGGAGGCCCAGGGCTCATCCTGCAACTGCTCCAAGGGTGTTTTCAGAGAATCACAGAATCAGCAAGCGTGGAACAGGCCATGGAGATCATCAAGTCCAACCTGTCACAATGGACCCTTGGTTACACGAAGCCCTGCAGTGTTACAATGGACATTTGCAGGGCTGGAATAGCTCTGCTCTGGAGCCAGGCTGAGAGCTGGAGTTGTTCAGCCTGAGCACGAGAAAGCTCCAGGGAGACATTAGAGCCCATTCCAGCACCTAAAGGGGCTCCAAGAGAGCTGGAGAGGGACTTCTGGAGGGACAGGATAAGGGGAACATGAGGTGATGGAGAATAGGTTTAGATGGGATATTGGGAAGAAATTCTTCCCAGTGAGGGTGATGAGGCCCTGGCAAAGGTTGCCCAGAGATGCTGCAAACTCCCCACCTCTGGAGGGGTTCAAGGCCAGGTTGGATGGAGCAATTTGGTCCAGTGGAAAGTGTCCCTGCCCATGGCAGGAGCCTGGAATTGAATGATATTAAGGATTCTAACCCAAGCCATCCTATGATCCTGGATCTGCCCCTCCCTGCCCACATTCAGCAGCAGCAGGTTGACATGTTCCTTTTGCAGCCATTTACTGCAAATACAGCAACTGAATGAACTTTGCTCTGGATGTTGCCTGCAGCCTCCATCAGCTTCAGCTGGGCTTTGGCTCTCCTAAACACATGAACATATGCTCAGGTCAGATTTCTGAATTCCTCCTGCATAGCTTGTTCTCACTTCCACCTCCTGGCCATTGTGTTGTGGCTCATCCCTGTCATTTGTCCCTGAGGCAGCACAGCCCCCCTGCCCAGCACAGGCCCCACACCCCCCTCATCAGACATGGCACAGCACAGGATGTGTTTTGGGTGGGCAAATGTTCCCCACCAGAGTGTCCATTCCAGACCTCAGTGTCCAGCCTCTCCAACCATGTCCAGTGCGTGGGTTCACAGAGCTCTGGGGTCTGCTAAGGGCTGGTTGAGGAGCGAACTGAGGCAGGGCTGATGCTGCCGCTACACCGGTGCTGAAATCGGCAGGAGGACGGAGATAACCACAGAACAAATAGACGAATAAACTGGGGTGAGTGCCCAGGTCTCAAAGTGGCTGGTGGAAGAGGCTGGAGGGACAGTCAAAGCCCTGGGGCACCTTCTCAGACTGGCCGTACCACCAAGGCCACAGATCAACTTCCTCAATGCTGCACCTACTTGAGATCCCTGCCAGGGGACTGGCACAGCATCACACACCTGCTGGAATGTGTCCTGGCGCTGCAGAGTCACACAGCTCAGCTGACATGGATGGGTTTCATCTCCTGGGCACTTCCCAGCCCAGCACAGCTTCTGCCCAGCTCTGCCCATCTCCCAACTCAGCCCAACTCAGCTCACCCCAGCCCAGCCCATTCAGGGTGAGCCCCATGGCAGTGCCTCCTCTGGGGTGCTCCAGTGTCACTGTTGAGCAAGAAATGACACAAATCCACCAGCAGGCTGGTTTGCACAACAGCAGCAGCTTTTAATACGAAAGTTCTCTTCTTTTATAACTAGGTTCGACACATTCTACTTGACTGGCTAATTAACAAAAACATTTTTCTCACAAACAGTCCTTGAGAAGAACAGAAAAACAGAGTAGGAAAACACCACCTGCAGGTTGTTCATACTGACAAGTTATCATCGTTTTTCTACAACTCCCTACAAGGTCTCACAAGTCCATTGTGAGAAAATGAATCCCATTTTCTTGCTCTCTGACCAGGCTGTTACATTACATCCACACTCCCCCTTCTTGTTTAAAGATGGAGCTAGTGTTTATAATCCTCTGCAGGGTCCCTTGCAGGCAGGAGAACAAACATGGCTCCAGAGGTTCCTTAATTGGATGGTGAATAAAAATGTTCAGAGAGATCGGATCTTGTGATTCTCTCTTACAAAAATGCACTAACAATCCTAAATCATGTACTTATTCTATTACAAAACAGTCATTTTTCAGAAGCAGAATGAAATGTCCACTCCCCACTCGTGGAGGGGCCATCTGATTGATGGTTGTCCTCTTGGTCATCATTTGGAGGCTTCCTGTTGGCCACATTCCAGTTTTGGTGTTTCAAGTCAGGGCGGACACACCTTGCAGGTACCCATTGCACTCCAGTATATGTGGAAACACATGCATACCCGCGGCCCCAAGTGACAAGGTCGTACAGGCCTTCCCACTTATTAATGGTTAGATCCTCTATCCGGACCTTTGCTTGAGGCAGGTGCATCTCACCTGAAGAATGCAATGAGAGAAAGTGATTTAGAATGACAGGGTTCTCCGAATTCTGTGGCACTGTCAAATGGTTGATTGTATATAAAGCTTTTTCCAGTTGTCTGTGTGGCATTTCTCCAGGCATTTCCCTTTTCTGTCTGTCCAGAACATGCTTCAAGGTACCATGAGCGCATTCAACAATGGCCTGGCCCATTGCAGAGTGTGGAATACCAAGCTTGTGTGACACTCCCCACAGGTGTAAAAACTGCTGCATCGTCTGTGAGACATAAGCAGCATCATTGTCAGTTTTCACAGAAGAAGGTATTCCAAAGACTGCAAAAGCCATCCTCCAATGGGCAATCACATCGCAACTCTTTTTCCCCAGTGTGAGCAGAGGCCCACATGGCAGAGGAAAATGTGTCAATAGACACATGCACATACTTGAGTCAGCCAAATTCAGCAATGTGAGTGACATCTGTTTGCCAAAGCTGCAAGGCCTTTAGGCCTCTGGGGTTCACCCCCGCTGGCAAAGGTGCAGAGAATCCATGACGGTCAGTGCAAGAACTGATGATGTCACAAGATTTAGTCAGTGTCAAATGAAACTGTTTCTGCAAAGTATGCGCACTTTCATGGAAAAAATAATGTGACGCCTTGGCTTGTGCAATTTTGTCAGGCTGAGGTGCTACCCACACAGGGTTAGCCAACCTGTCAGCCCTGGCATTACCTTCCACTATGAAACCTGGTAAGTTGGTGTGACTCCAAATATGTAAGATGTAATACAGATGGAATCAGGTTTGAATTGCACTCCACAAGGCTTCCAATAACTGAAACAAAACCACATTATTGACTTCCTTCAGAAGTGAACAATCCAAACACTTGGTTATGTCCGCGACATAGGCAGAATCAGTCACCAAATTCAGACGCACTTGGGAAAATTTCTGGAACGTCATGGCAACGGCCTTTAACTCAATCAGTTGGGCCGAGCCTGACTCATGGCCTTCCAGCGTCTGCCATCCAGATTCATCCTTCCAAGTAACATTGGCCTTCCCTGTTTTTCCAAACTATCAGTGAAGACAGTGGGCCCTTGCACTGGCACCCGGCTGCTCTTTGGCCACAACAACAAACCTGATGTCTTTGCCAGAAGCAGCAACTTATGGCTGGTCATATGATAAGCAATCTGCCCTGAAAAGTTCTGCAGTGCACTCTCCAAAGGAGCGCTGTTAGCAAGGCTCCATTCAAAATCTTCCCGTTCCACAGGAAGAATGATCGCTGAGGGATCGGCAGCCATCAATTGCAAACACCATTGACAGCATATGATTATCAAACAAGCAATTAGCTCAAACAATGAGGGTGCCATCTTTTTCAGCTGATGGTGCCAAAAGACCCATTCCAAAATGTGCAAGGGATCAGACCACTTGTCGCTCCACTGGCCAATAATACCTGTAGGATGAAAATCTGGATTGGTAATGAAGACAGTGTTATCAATGAAAGGATCTATCTGATGAACCTGACGAGCAGAAACAGCCCTTTGGATCTCCTCCAGCACTTGTTGTGCTGCAGGGATCAGTTCCTGAGGCGACCTCAGGTCAAGATCCCCTTTCAAAGTGTCATACAATGGGGACAATTGTGTTCCTAGTGTGTCAGTCCTAAATAAGGATGCAACCAGCTGATGACACCCATCAACTTCTGGGCATCATTCAAGGTCTGAATAGAATCTGAAAATTGCAACTCCTGATGCTGAATGGTTTGGTCAAGAATTTTGACCCCCAGATACTTCCACGGAGGGTGCTGCTGAACTTTCTCTGGGGTCATCTACAGCCCAAAAGCATGCAGAGCAGCAAACAGCTGAGGCTGTATCCACAGCAACTCATCCTGGGTGGGTGTTGCCACCAGGATATCATCCATATAATGATAACAACACACATCAGGAAACTGAACGCAAACCCCGAACAAAGCCTGAGCCACATACCACTGACAAATAGTCAGGCTATTGCGACAGCCCTGTGGGAAAACCTTCCATTGATATCTCCACACAGGTTCGGCATTGTTGACTGAAGGCATTGTGAAGGCAAACTTTGGCCTATCATCAGGATGCAAAGGTATAGAATATTAATCCCAGCGTTTCCAGGTGTGTCGTGCCTGGCTGCATCTGACCCTTGCTGCTGGACCAAAGGCAGCAGCTGTGGCGTTTTACCCCAGAGATACCTTGGCTGGCTGGATGCTGCAGCTAGGCACTCGGAACAAATCCAGGCAAAGTAGGAACTCAATTTACCTCTGGTGGAAAAGGTTCAGGTGACAGTGAAGAGAAAAGAGCGGATTGTATCTTAGAGTCTTAATCCAGAGTTTTATTCTAGGATGGTAGACCTCTGAAACAGCTCCCAATAGAACCCTGACTGCATGGTCTCATCTGCTTTTAAGCCCCAGGGACAGGGGGAGGGGAAGGGACAGGTAAGGGCCAACCAGGTGGGAGGAGGGGAAGGCTCAAGGGATATAGACACTTGGACAGGCCAGTGAGCCCCGACCTGAGGGGCATCTTTTGAACTTCTGCCAACCACACGACGCCCTTGCTGGAATGTTAAGATTGATGGACAGCTCTTAGCAGGAGGGCAAAAGGGGAGGGGAAAGGTTGGCACACCTGAGGGCATCACACTGCAACACAAAGGAATTGTAAAAAAACAATCCTTCAAATCAATGACCTAGATCTCCCATCCCACAAGGATCGTTGTGGGTGAGGGCATACCAGGCTGCAATGCTCCCATGCTTTCCATCACTGCATTAATTTTCCGGAGGTCTTGTAACAACCTCCACTTCCCAGATTTTTTCTTTATCACAAAGACAGTATTCCAGGGACTCATAGAAGGCTCAATGTGTCCCTGTCACAGTTGTTCCTGAACCAATTCATGAAGGGTGGCCAGTTTATGTTCTGTCAGGGGCCACTGATGAACCCAAAGGGGTTTGTCCACCAGCCACCATAAAGGCAGCGTAGGATATCCTTCGCCCTTCAATGTAGTGGTCCCAGCTAAAAATCCATCCCAATCTGCACCCCCCAGGCAGCCAATACATCCCACCCCCACAGACTGATGGGGGTTGAAACGACATAGGGTCCAACTGGAGCCACCTGCCCCTTCGTGTTGGCGATGAGCACAAAGCATTGGCTCATCAAGGTACATACCAGACCCCCCACAATGGGTGTTCCCACAGGGGCCAAAGGCCAAGCAAGAGGCCACAGAGAGAGAGAGAGAGAGAGAGATGACAGTCACATCCGCCCCCATGTTGATCAAACCTTGCAGCTTGATCTTTGGCAGGTGGGCACCCAATAGGGTCAGGATACACACCATCTGGGGTTGCTGAGTGGAAATGGCTGCAGACCAGAGGGATCGTAGATCTGAAGCCACCACTCCCATGAGTCTGCAGGTCAGACCTGGGGATACATGACTGAAAGAACACAAGTTGAACAATCCAAGTCCCTGCCCGAATAGTGACAGAGGGGGAGGGCACGAAAACCATGGCACAAAAAAAAAAAAAAGTCAGACTCAATGACTCTCAGGTGAAACAAAGATTCCTTGGTGGGTGACACTAGACCTCCCCACATGCAGCACACCCAGTCCCTGTCCCAAAGGTCCGAGCACGTCCAAAGGAACCTTATGCTCACAACAGGATTCTAAGATGACTGTGCTGGTGGTATGTACATCCACGCCGGCAGAACCCCGGGTGATGCCTCTAAGCTGCCTGGGCAAGCCTGACCCAGCATCATGCCCTGGAGGAATCACTTGTGTCAAGGTGCAATTCCTCTGTGCACTCTTCTTCCCATTTCCCGGGCCCACCAAAGGCTGGCCATTGGCATGAAATTTAGCTCTGCATTGGTCTGAACAATGACCTGCCTTTAGGCATCCAGAGCACAAGAAGGTGCCATATACCTGTTGGCTTGGGCATACCTTACTTTTTCTTGCCCTTATTTTTATCCCTTTTCCATTGTCCGCCCCCTGAGGGCACCTGGCCTGGCTGTGTAGCAACTTCCAGAGCAGACACTCTGTGGTCCACAGCACCCGTCTTAATACATGCATCGACCATGTCTGCCACCAACGGGTACCTGGAAGAGCATCTATGATCTTCCAGCAATCACTGTTCACATTGAACCAGACCAACATCTTGCAGAAGCTCTCCCTTAAGGCAATATCCTCAACCTGCTTCTCCAGGGCAGCAACAACCTTCTCGACAAATGGCATAAAAGGCTCACCTGGTCCCTGTACAATCGTTGTACATTGTGGCGCAGGGGAGGCTGCCTCAATGGTCTTCACCAATGCACCAAATCCTGCATTTTGACACAGCTCAAGAACAGCAGTGTCCCACGTAGCCTGAAAATCAGGATTGGAAAAGGCATGCTCCCCGAGGAGAGCATCCACCCCCATGCCATACCTAGGGTCAGCCTGAGGTAGAAGCCTGTTGCTTCCCACAACCTTCACAGCAGTCTGCGTCCAGTACTTCTTAAAAATCACATACTGCACAGGCTGGAACAGTACCTGACCAATATGTTTAATATCAAATGGAGGAAGCAGGTCCGTGGATAGCGCTCTGAGAGCCTGCATAAATTGCGCAGAGCCAAGGCCATATTTCGCAACCTGGTCCCACAGATCCTGGATTGCCCGCCAGGCAAATTCATCATGCCTGTTGACAAGTCCCAAATTTGGGACAGCTTTAAACATGGAAAGAGTGCTCACCTTGCCTTGTGGCAGAACATGGTCCTTCTGAACCACCCATGCCCCTCCCTCAGATGCTGGACAAGCCATCCAATCGACACCTGTGGCCCCACCCCCCAAGGCAAGTGTGGTGTCGCCAGCTGTACACCGTGGCCTCCCCGCCCTGTCCAACAGACCCCTACCCCCAGCTTCTGAAGCTTGTGTCTTGACTTCATCCCAAAAGCTGCAGGGATTCCTGGGGCGCACAGTCACCCGACAGGGAGGCGAAGTCCAGAGGTTATAAGTGGACGATGATTCTACCTGTTGATGCCGGCAGTCTACCACCGGAACACACTCTTGCCATGGGACTGGCTGTTGGCTGTCATTGCTGTCCAAGTCCTCATCTAGGGAAGGGGAGGACAGCCAGCGGGTAACAGGGGGTGGCAGACCAACTGAAAGGCCCAGATTTGAGAGGCCAACCATGGGCTGCGAGACTGAAGGGCTAGGTACAAGCCCAGATGCAGGGGGACCAGCTACTGGCTGTGCCATGGCCAGGGACCCAGCCATGGATGGTGCAGCCAAAGATGGGCCAACAGGCAGTGTGGTCATGGCTGGTGGCACTACCACTGTTGCCGCAGGCTGCACCAGCAAAGGTGCAAAAGCCATTAAGTCAGCCAAGTTGGCCACTGCGCCAAGACGAGGAGGAGGCAGCCTCCCCGCAACCAAAAGAAGACATAGCCCCTGCTGTGTGATTTACCATTCAGAGAGACAGTGCTGGATCCATGGTCACGGTCGCTGTTGTCTGCACAGGCACTGCGGGATGCGGAGGTTTAGGGACATCACGCTATAACTAATATGATCTAGTGAAGCTAAATTTATTATCTCTAAAAGACTATATTTATAATAAGTCTCTACTGTCCACACGTCTCTAGCTAATACATGATTGGTTAATCTTAGCTGTCCACGCGTCTAAAATAGAATGCTGATTGGATCATCGAATTCTTCATGCATTTTGCTGTGGTTGTCTGGCTCACCCATGGCTTACTTTCCCAAGCTTGCTGACAAACTTGCTGAGTCTTGATGACTCTTCTTCTTGTATCTTTTTCAAGGATATACTGACCCCATATCTGTATATGTCCATTATCTATTGTTTGTGAACATGTCCATTGTCCATTATTACAAGCAGGCTGGATTGTGCATCGGCTGAATATGGCCGCAAAAACTCTTGCAAAAACTCCTCAACCTGCAAAAAATCCTTGACACAGGCACCATGGAAAAGGAGGGGGAAACCGGCCAGGGCGTGACATCAGCTGGAACCGGCACTGCCGACAGGCATTGACAGTGGGCTGGTACAGCTGTGCAGGCTCCGTGGCTGATGACAAGGATGCTGACAGAGCGACCAGTGTTGTCGTGGCAACCGCTGATGCCAGAACCGCCCCCACCCCCTCCTGCGAACCAGAGGCGAAACCGTGAGCCAGAAACTGCGGCTCCTGCCAGCTGTGAGAAAGTTCGTCCCCGGTGTGCAGGGGGGAAAAAGGCAGAGGTGATTGCTGCAGCAAAGCCTCAGCCTCCTTTCATAGGAAAGGGGAGAACTGGACCATTGGGGACAGAAGGGTCGAATCTGGCGCAGGCGGAGAACCACAGTCTCCCAGGCACGGCTGAGATGCGGCTATTGCTCTCGGCGGCACTGATATCACAGAAAGAGGAGACCTCCCAAAAAGATATGAACAAGGGTTTGCCGGTGAAACACAATCTCCAGATGAGAGATGGGTTTCGCAGAGAGTCCCCAAGCCTCCCGCCGGCCCATACAGAGTCGGAGAGAAGCTGGCAGCCGGCCGGTCTGGTGATCTTCCCCCCAATGCACCGCCAACAACCCCACCCTTTGAGCTCCTGCTCTCCAATGCACTGACCAGCCAGGATGGCATGAAACAAGGGTCCCCACACAGTCATAAGTCAAGGCGCGGCAAAATCCCCTTCAAAAAATGCCTCCGCTAGCCGGTTGCCCAACACCTGCCACAGGGTCAGGCTGAAAGCAGCGTCCACGCTCACTGGAAAATCATGAGCCTTGGCCCATACTAAAAATTCACAGAGTGAATCATCTGACACAGAGAGTCCCTTAAAAGACTCTCTGTGTCAGAGAGTCCTTTAAAAGACTCTCTGTGTCAGGTCCCTCCATACAGAGAAAATCACAGCTTCCTCTTTAGAAGTGTTGTTCCCCATCGCGGAAACACCAGCACCCGACCCCAGCAAAGCACAAACTGTCTGCTGCGCTGGGGCTCGTCCCACCCCACTGACCCAAGCTATCAGGGCAAAACTGTGGACCCAGTCCAATTAAGAAGGACTTGGGGAAAGGTGGTTACCTCTCCGGAGAAACAGAGGGTGTCCAAGCGCGGGCAGACCGCGCGGGTGCCGAGGGGTCCCGGTGGAGGTCCGGTGGGGGTCCCGCGGAGGTCCCAGGCGTCCCGGTCCGCTGGCCCGCGAGGGGTCAATCGGGCAGGCAACACATGTCGTCGGTCACCAGATGTCACCGTTGAGCAAGAAATGACACAAATCCACCAGCAGGCTGGTTTGCACAACAGCAGCAGCTTTTAATACGAAAGTTCTCTTCTAACTAGGTTCGACACATTCTACTTGACTGGCTAATTAACAAAAACATTTTCTCACAAACAGTCCTTGAGAAGAACAGAAAAACAGTGGGAAAACACCACCTGCAGGTTGTTTATACTGACAAGTTATCATCGTTTTTCTACAACTCCCAACAAGGTCTCACAAGTCCATTGTGAGAAAATGAATCCCGTATTCTTGCTCTCTGACCAGGCTGTTACATCCATACTCCAGCACTGGGGGCACTCACCCCACAGGCCTGGCCCCCTTGAAGGGCTCAGCAGCTACTGAGGGGCAGAGAGGGAGGTCAGCCTCCACATCAGCCCCAGGGCTGGAGCTCCCCATGGCAGGGCAAATGGAACTCTGCAGAATTCCTGGTCCTGACTCCAGGAGATGCCCAGCATAGGCTGCCTCTGCCCACTCAGTGCCAGCCCCTCTGTCCAGGCCAGCGCAGCAGCCCTGGGCAGGGGACAGAGGGGGCTGGCCAGAAGTGGTGCCTACAGCAGCAGCTCTCTCTGGATTCCTCCCTGCAGGCCCAGAAACGCTCCCTTGCTCTTCTCCTTTGACATCCCTTTCCCCAGCTGAGCATGTCCTGGCCAGCCAGGCTGGCTTGTCCTGCTGCCCCAGCCCCTGCTCCCCACAGGGCCCTGAGCTGGCACTGCTGCTCAGGACACACTGGGTTCTGCTGCTGGCCATGGCTGAGCCTGAAGGAAAGCAGCAGCTCCAGAGGGAAGGCTGTAGAAAGGCTCTGGGCACTGAGGCCGAAAGAGACATCCCAGGGTCCACAAGTTCTCGGTGTGGGAGCTGAGCTTGTGACTCCCCAAGCCCTCCCAAGTGGGTACTGGGGCTGCACCTCCAGCTCCACAGGAAGTGTGACAGATGGGAGCAGAGACAAATAATTCCTGCTGTATTCTTTATTGTGTTTGCTTATACAGGCAACATGGATCCATATGTAGAGGAGCTGTTTTGTGTCAGTAACACTGGTAGAGTGGTAAGAATAATATTTTTTAGCTGAAAATAATATTTCATGCATAATACACAATGAGAAAAAAAAGACGTGGTCAGAAAAGCATCTGAGTTTTTCAGAGGATGAAATACTCATTGATGTTCTATGTAGCCTGTTGAAATACTTTCCTCAGGGCTTCCTGGAGATGAGAGATGACCACCTGTCCCGGTTTTGCATCAGGACGTGATTCAAAGAGAAGCTGCTACCAGTTTCCTCCATGTCTGACAAAAAAACCCATCAATAATTAACTTTGAGAATTGACAATCTGTTAAACCACTGAGAAAGCTGATACGCCTCTGTGAACACCCATGAAAAAAAGAAAAATCCTGGGAAATCCCTCTTTCTCTTCTGGTCAGCAAAGAAGTAACAAGGCCCCCATCTTGGCCAGGCCGGGCCAGGCCAGGCCCCATTGGCTGCTAGGCAGGGGGAGGGCAGGCTGGAAGGCTGAGGCCAGGCTGGGCCCCAGCAGATGCAGGACAGAGAGGGGAGGCCATCGGCTGCTGAGTCCAAGCCTGGCTGCTGAGATCTATGGGAACCCAGGGAACACGGAATATTTCTCTATCTGCTCTTGGGTGTCCTGACCCCCAGGCGAGCACTGACTTTGACCCTCATTCATGGGGAAGGTTTCCTACACTTCAAGATAGACTAGAATCTTGAAGTGTAGGACTAGAATTCACACAAAAGTGTGAAATAGATTATAGAGAGTAGTGTAGATGTTTCATTTGTGTGAGAAACTCAGGTTTTGGGATCTTTAGTATGTTGTGGATGGAAGCAAGATGGAGGGCACAGGGTGTTGTTCTGGGTTTCTTCTTCATGCTTCTTCTTCTTTCTTCATGGGTTTGGGTGGCACTCTGTAATTGGGCAGAAAAGTCCACACTGGGGGCTCTTTGGGACCAGTTATTGGGTTAAAAGGGAAAATAATCTAGGTGTCAGTTCTTAATTGGATAGTTTAGACTTAAAAGACCTTGTTACAAGAGATTGTTAGCCATTTTGCACCTTGTTAACGAAAAGCTGCCAAACTCACAGTAATGAGACTGTCACATAGAAATAACAAACACTTGAGTCCCAACAGGAACTCCATCTCAAGTGCCTTCAATCCAGACCCAGAGAAACCCATAGAGATCCTAGCCACTCCCTCCCCGCCTTGCACGGCCACCCAAAAAACCCAGAGGCGGCTGTGCAGCCTGTGCAAAAGAAGCCCCGGACCACACCAGTTCAGCCAAGATTCTACCCACAACTGCTGGGCAGGAGGAGGAGAAGCCATCAGCCCCGCCCCAGTGCTGGCTGCTGAGTTCTGGCCTGGCTGCTGAGATCCTGGCCATCCCCTGCCCCAGCCCAGCACCCAGCTGGGGACAGGTAGCCACCTGCAGCCCCCAGACAAGATATTAACCCTTTCAGTGCATCAATCCCCATTCGAGTGAGAGAACAGGATGAAGTGCAGACACGTGAAGATACTGAGGTCAGTGAAGAGGAAGTCAAATTCCAGATGGGAAGGATGAGGACATGCTGTTGTCTTGGGGCTGAAATCTTCTCGTAAAGCTATGGAAAAGAATTTAATTGATCCATCAGACCTTTTTTCCTATATCGCATTGAAGAATTATGAGGGGATGGATTGTTCAAATCTGTGTTGAAGCAGGCAAATGCTGAAATAGCTGTGAATTTACAAAGTTTGAACAGAGAGAGAGAAGAGTGATGAAGACCTTGTGCCCCAAGGGAGAGAAGAAGGAGACCTTTGTTCCCAGAGATGAAGATGACCTCAGATAAAGAGAGCCTTTGCTCCTGACCAGCTCATCCTTAAAATAGTACCCCATAACTTGACATGATCCATAAACCCAGCTGTGGCAAAAGCTGTGGAAAAATGGGAGGGACTTCATGATTGCCGATTTCCAGTGTGGCTGCTATTTGTGAAAATTAGAAGCCATGAGAGAACTATTTTCTGGTGGAGCAGTTTCCATAAATTAACAAGAGGGAGATCTCTCCCTAAATGAATTGTAGAAAGACTATTCTAAAAGTGCTAAAATGACTGAATTGTTTCTGTGTGTTGGGAGTGGGAAAGAAAAGGTTGTGAGGGGGGGAGAAGTGTTCTAAAAGTTTTATTCTGATTCTCATTACTCTTTCTTCTAGTTACTGTTAATAACGCTTTCTTTATATCCTTTTTAAGTTTTGAGCCTGCTTTGCCTTCCTCCTAGTCCTATCTCACAGCAGCAAATGAGTAAGTATATTCTAGTGAGTGCACTGGTGTTTGGCCAACACTGAAACCCACCACATTAACTGGTGAGTTGGCTGGGAAATCTCAAATTGGCAAACCAAAATCACTACAATGTACTACTAGTACAAAGCAAGTGAGGAACTTGGATCTGCAGTTCTGTTTCTTGGTTCAGGCTAGCACTGGGTCTGTGGTTCTGGTTGGCACTTGGTCTGTGGTTCTGTTTGTTGTTGCTGCCACTGTTGTTGTTTGTTTGCATATATATCTTATTAAAGAACTGTTATTCCTTTTCCCATAGCTTTGCCTGAAAGCCCAATAATTTTGAAGTTCTAATACTTTGGAAGAAGGCGGTCACATTTTTTATTCCAAGGCTGGCTGCTGCCTTCCTTGGCAGACATCTGTCTTTCAAAGCAAGACAAAGGGAGATGAATTTCCCTGCAGGAGACCTCTCTGGTTTGCCATACAATGGGAGGGGCTGTGGCTGCAGGGCTACACTGGTCTCATCTGCTGTAGGGATGCACCTTCCCCACCACAGCCCAGCTGCTCCTTGACTATTTCCTGGTGCCAACTGAAACTTCCCCATTGCAATATTTTCAGGGTGCCCAAAAATCTGCTCATTGTCCACAGCAATTTCCAAGTTTTGATTCTTCTCAGGATGTGTCCCTTAATACACACTGGAGGGGGATCCAAACAGAGTTACCAACTATCTGCTCTGAGACTGTGGCATCCACATTCTCTGAACATAATTCATTCACTCAGGATTTTTCTCCTGGGAAGCTGAAAAGGCAGCGAGAGGCCCTAGAGAAAAAAGGAAAACAATTCTGATCTCATTTGCTTCTCCTGTGTTTGCACACAAGTGGAATGTATCATGGAAGATTATTTACCTGAAGGTGATTGCCTGATTGGATTCTGGTGTGAGTTGTTTTGACTCATTGGCCAATTAGGGCCAAGCTGTGTCAAGACTCTGGAATGAGTCACGAGTTTTCATTATTATCTTTTTAGCATTCAGTAAGTATCCTTTCTGTATTCTTTAGTATAGTTTAGTATAGTATTCTTTAATATAATATAGTATTATAAAATAATAAATTAGCCTTCTGAGAATATGGAGTCAGATTCATCATTCCTCTCTGCCACGAGGCTCCCTGAAGTACAATATGAGACCACGCTCACACTCCCCTCCTCCCCACTCTGTTTTCTTAACTAGTTCTGCTCTCAAGTCTCCAAAAGGAAACAGTAAATCAGGGCTTGTGATAATTCTGTTTCCCAGACATAGGGCTCCTGGCTCAGACTTCTCTGAGGTCCAAGGAGTACTAAAAGCTGCTGGGAGATGAGCTCAGCCTCTTCATTTTCAGATGGGAAAGAGATGCCAGGGGAATGGCCAGACCATGGACTAAAAAGGAGATGGGATTTCACAGAGAAGGCGCTCCCAGGGAACAAAGGCCACTTTTGTGCACCACTTGCCCATGGGGACACTTGGCAGGCTCCACTGTCCTTCTGGAGAGGAAGGACCAGCATCGTTGGGACAGTGATCTTGCCTGCCCTGAGGGGACACCTTGTCTCAGTAATGACACTGGGCCTTTGCGCTTGAAAAAGACCAAGAAGTCTCTGATCTCCTTTCCCTGCCAAAGAGGACCCAACCTCAAAGCACAGTGGGGTATGAATGATCCAGGTCCTGAGCTGCTTTGTCCAGGAAAGGGACACTGCTCATGGCAAGCTGGGGTTGACAGAACAGAAGCCACCCCAGGACAGACTGAGCACTCCTGTGCCAGCGAACAAGGACAAGGCCTGAGCCCAAGATTCCTTGAAGCTCTTCCTCACAATCCTATGGTCCTTCTCTCCCTGAAGTGTCCACCTCCCAAGGTTCAAGAGCACATGGACTCTGGAAAGAATCACAGGATCATAGAATATCCTGAGCTGCAAGGGACACACAGGGATCATTGATTCCAGCTCCTGCCTCTACCCAGGACACCCCGATAATCCCATCCTGTGCCTGGGGGCATTGTCCAAATGCTCCTGGAGCTCTGGCAGCCTTGAGGCCACGACCAAACCCTGGGGAGCCTGTTCAGTGACTCAGCACCCTCTGGGGGAAGGACCTTTCCCTGATATCCAGCCCTACCATGGCACAGCTTCAGTTGTTACCTCAGGTTTGTTCATGAGAGAGGAGACAAGAGAGGAATAAAAAGCTACTCCTACCCTCACAAATCACCAAATGGGTAAGACTGGAAGGGACCACTTAAGTTCTTCTAGTCCAAACTCCCACTCAAACAGGGTCTCCCAGAGACCATTAATCAGATTTATATCTAGTTGGCTTTTGAATTTCTCCACAGAAGGAGTCTCCATAACCTCTCTCAGAACTGCTCCCTGCGCTGTTACCCTCACAGTAATGAAGGTCTTCTTGTGTTTAGGTGGAATTTCCTTTGTTTCTGTTTCTGTCCATTGCCTCTCATCCCATTACTCAGCACCACCAAGAACAGCCCAGCTCCATCTTCCTGATGGAACCCACTCTTCCAACACTTCTGTCCATTGATGGGATCCCCTCTTAGCCTTTTCTTCTCCAGACCAAACAGGCCTGGCTCCTTCAGCCTCTCCTCACCAGAGAGATGCTCCAGGCCTCTGATCATCTTTGTAGTTCCTCAGTTGGGCCTGTCCCAAGAGCTCCAGGTTTCTCTTGTACTGAGGAACCTAGCATGGGACACAGAGCTCCAGATGTGCCTCGCTGGGGCTGCCCCTCCCTCGGAGGTTGGCAAAGCTCTTCCTAAGGCAGCCCAGGCACCCATTGGCCTTCTTGGCCACAAAGACACATTGCTGACTCTTGGACAACTCTTTGTCCACCACAACCCCCAGGTCCTTCTCTGCAGTGCTACTTTCCAGCAGGTCAGCCCTGAGCCTGGATGGGTGACTGGGCTTATTCCTTACCAGGTTCTTTGAATTGCTTTGGATGGATGGACTGCAGCAAGGCTGGTGAAAGATCACAGGCCCTGTGGGTATTCCTGAGGGTTTGGCAAAGGCCTGGGGGGCAGGATGGGGAGCAGGGATCATCTCTCTCCATCTCCCCAGACAGCATCTGTGGGCTGTGGGAGACAACACTGCCATGAGGAAGATGAGTGGGCAGGTGGATTTGGACACTTTTATCACATGTCAGGCCATACCTACACACACTCTCCAAAGACAAGAGAGCCAAAAGGGGCTTTGAGAACCTGCAGAGAATACTTCAGCACAGAGGAGTTTCAGCATCACAGATCACAAAAGCTGAGAGGCTCAAAAAGCCTGACTTCAGTTGCAGGGTGGATTGTGCTAGTGCATCCCATGACTACAGTCGGCTTCTTTGGGCCTCCACCCACGTAAGGACTGTCCCTCCCCATCCCCTCTGAGGAGCTGAGCAGCATGAGCTCACAGGGTGGTTGGCTTGTAGAGCAGATTTTGCCTTCAGAGAGATGGAAGTCTGCTTACTTATAGCCCTGCTCACCTTGTTACTTCTTCTGGTCTGCTCTGAGAAGCTGAAACTCATGCTGATGACTCTGGCAATTTCGGTAAACGTTCTTCCAGAGTTTCAATTCTTTGTAAGAGCTGCTGGATTTTGCTAATCATCTCAGCACTTGAAATTTCCTCCTCTTTCTTTCCTGTGAAGAAAGAACAATGCCACTGGGTCACTAATGATTCCTCCCAGAGATGGAGACAAGCTCTCTGACATGAGGATACCCAAAGTCTCTGGTTTAAGGTCCCTGTCAGAGGGTTTCTGCTCTCACAGACACATCCAGGCTCTGCTCAGGGAAGCTCCTCTCCCTGCTGATCATCAATAGCGAAACATTGATCTCACATGTGCCCCAGCATGGGACCAGGAGTGGGGGAGCAAGAGAAGGGCAGTGGGGAAAGGGAGAGAGACAGGGACAGGATTTCAAGGGGGGACCCTTGGCAAGTATCAGGCAATGAGAGAACTCCCAGCACAAAAAAGTCTGCTTGGCAATGGCCCTGCTCACCTTGGTTCTTCTCCAGCTTTGCTCTGAGCTGACACTCACACTGTCTGGACTCCTCTAATTCTTTGACACGTTCCTGCAAGGCTTCCACTGTTTTTATGAGCTCCTGGGAGTCATCTGTCTTAGATTCCAGGGCTTTTGTGGTCTTCTTCTTATTTCCCCTTCCTGTAGAAAAGGACTGGTGTCAGTGGGAAACGGACATTGCTCATTTGATGGGGAGACCACCCATCCTGCCTGAGGATGATCAAATCCTCTGTTTTAAACTCTCTTTTTGAGGGTCTCTTCTTGGGTCTTCTACAGGTTGGGTTTTGGTTTCCTCTCCTCCTGGCTGTGCTGGGAAAAGCCCTCTGCTGGGATATCTCTGCACCCTGGCGTCCTGGGCATCTGCATAGGAATGGGCAATGTTACAAAGGACTGGCTGGAGGCCTTTGGAAATGGAAATTTATGGACAGGTGGGATTGCTCCATCTGACTACACTGGGCCCACATGCAGGACAGAGCTCTGGATCTCCTTCCTGCTGGGCAGGGTTTAAGTTTCCAGATAGGATGGGCAAGTACTGGCACTCACCTGCAGAAAGGCTTCTGCCTTTTGTCCCTGTAGCTAAGCCAGGGTGAGATTCCTCCTTGACTGTTCAAAGAAAGGAAAGGAAATCCCAGAAGGGATGTGCTATGTCTTTGAAACCGTTACCAATTGTGAGGAACACCCTCTGCTAGGGTAGAACATGTCCCTGATCAAAGGAGGTCACCTCTCTGACCAAACTGATCCCACCCCAAAGGCCAGGCCTTCTGCTGTGCTCTGGAAGGGGTTCTGCAGGCAACGTACTCAGGGGAGAGACCTCCACTGGCCTCATTTCTCTCAGGGATAACACATCCCATCCCAAGGGTTCCCAGGATGGCCACAGACAAGAGCAATAGGATCCAGCACACTTACTGATTGCTTCCAGTATCAGTTCTAGGATTTTATCAACCAGAGAGCTCACAAGCACAGATACTAGACATCAGGTACACATGCAAAGAAAATCAAAAAGAAAAACAGGACATTTAAATAGGATCTTTCCCCTAGGAACTCCAGGACTGCACTGAGCAGGTTCTGGGGCAGAACACATCCCACAGCTGGCCCAGGAGCCACGAGGTCCTGTGGACCAGGAGCCCCACAGCAGTGCTGGAAGGTTCCTGACCCCCAGGACCCACTGAGGCTCTCCTGGGCCAGGGAGCTCCCTCAGCTGCCATAGCACTCAGGCACTAAACAGGTGCCTCAGTCCCAACAAAGCACAACCACTAACAAGAGGGTGAGACTCTTCTGCCTCACACTCCAGGAGTGGAGAGGGACTTCCCAGGTCCCTTCACTGTCCCTCGGCACATTCAGAGCCTGACCCTCAAAGCCCTGCTCAGCAACACCCCCCGCTAGAGTAGGATGTGTCCCTGATCAAAGGAGGTTACCCTTCTGACCAAACTGATCCCACCCCAAAGGCCAGGCCTTCTGCTGTGCTCTGGAAGGGGTTCTGCAGGCAACATGCTCAGGGGAGAGACCTCCACTGGCCTCATTTCTCTCAGGGATAACACATCCCATCCCAAGGGTTCCCAGGATGGCCATAGACAGGAGCAATGTGATCCAGCACACTTACTGATTATCTCAAGTATCTTTGCTCCGCCTTTCTTAGTCAGCTTGTCAGCAGACACAGTTGCTGGTGCACATGAAAATAAAATCAAAAAGAAAAATAGGACATTTAACAAGGACCTTTCCCCAAGGAAAGCACATCCCATCCCAAGGGTTCCCAGGATGGCCACAGACAAGAGCAATGGGATCCATGAATCCACACTTACTAATGGACTCAATTTGTCCTCCTTGGACATGCTGCGAAGAACTCCTTTTTTTTGTGGCCATTAGGTTCACCTGAAAAGAAAAATGAAGAAGAGGAAGCTTCACTAAGAGATTTCCCCTTAGGATTTAAAAAAATGCATTTAAGAGCTTTTTTGGGACATACTATCCTTTATACTACTCAAACCTCTGATCTACTCGGGGTTTTTTAATTTACTGATTTTCCTTTCCATCACTGTCCAAACAGAATACAGCTCATTCCAAGATATTCAGTCCTTGCTTCTGGTCTCCTGTATCCTTATCTCTAGGTTCACTCTGCAATGCAAGGGAAAAGAGGGGCAAAATCTCCATGGTGAGCAAAATCTTAGCACTAGAGAAGATAAGGCAGTTGATAAGATGTTCTGTTGCACTCCTAGCTGGTCCCTAACCCATCTTGTCTGCCCTGGAGCTCTGAGAATTGTCACAGACACACACATCATCTTCCTTGGTCAAAATTAAGACTGGCTTTTGCAGCGTGCAGAACCTGGTGTTCAGCCCCAGCCACAATTTTCCACAAAGGAAAGGGACCATTTTCCATTCCTTCAGACTCAAATCCTGGAGGTTATCCTGACCAGCTATGAAGAAATCTATGGAGAAAGGACAAGTGACCTTGGCTGGTGTCTATGCAGGAGATGTCCCGACCAGAGAGTAATTAGCACTGACTCCATGATGCAGAAGGCATGAAAGACACTTCATTATTCATGTATAGTATTAAGAAATCTACAGTTCCTATAGGAACAGTAGTGGACCTAAGACCTGATTGGTCTTAAGGTGAAAACCTCTCCTCACTATTGGTGCACTATGAATAGTACACTCTAGCAAACCATATTTATAAACAATGGTTATAGAAAGAGAGATAATAATTGTCTGATTTTTTTTTTCTCTAAGATTCTTAGGTTCAGTTTGTGAGAAATTGTCTCTGTTCATTCTTTGACTGAACTGAGAATTTTTGCAGGCTGGATGCCAGATGCCCATCAAACTTCTCTCACTCCCCCTCCTCAACTGGACAGGAGGAAAAAATATGACTGAAGAGCTCACATAAAGCCTGGGATATCCCTCTCCAGTTGCCACCATGGGCAAACCAGACTCGACTTGGGGATGATTGCTTTGCTTTCTCAGCAATTCCCAACAGAGCAGCAAGACGAGTAACAAAGACAAAACTGAAACCACCTCACTCCCACTCTCCCCTGTCCTGGTTGTGAACACACCTGGTGCAGGTGGCTGGGGCAGCTGCAGTGCCTGATGCAAATTGAGCTCCAGGTGGGAGCCCAAGACAAGAACTTGTGAATGGCCAACAAAGTCCAACAAAGGGCACCAAGAGTGGTGGCACAGCTGGGGAAGGGACACCGAGAGACCCAGCAGGAGCTGAGGGCCTGGGATGAAGAGCCAGACTTGAGCCTTGGGCATGCAGACTGTGAGGGGATAAAACTGAGGGGCTCCCTTGTTGGGGGAACAGCTCAGGCTGTTCCTGTGTTACTGCACTGGGATTAAATGTCTTTATGGAATCAGACAGCTGAGACTGCTCTGGGAAACATGGGCTGGAACCAGGGAGGACACAGGGGCTGGGTGTGGGGAGTCCAGCCCAGGGCCCATTGGGGCATTGCAGCCACTGCTGTGGAGGGGCTCTGGTCCCAGCACTGAACATTTCTGCTGGCTGGAGTTTGATGGCCAGAGAGCCTCGGGAATGGTTAGACTGGGAAGTTTCCTAAATATCCTCTTCTGCACAGCTGGCTGCAGAAAGCAGGGCCCTGCTGACCCTTCCAACAAAGCCACTTGTCGCTTCTGAGCACATCCATCAGAGCAGCAGTGACGAGGTGAAGGCAGAAACAGGGACTGCTCAGGAGTGAGGAAAGGTCTGCTCAGGGCACAGCTCGCTGCTGTGCTCTGCTCTCCCTCTCCTTCTTGCACTCCATTTCCCTGGGCTGTCTGCTCCTTGTGACTTTCTGTTTTCTTTGCTCAGGGCCATATTCCAGAGAAGGAGGAGGACCTGGACTGAATTAAGGAACCCCTTGCCAAAAGCTGCTGCATGTCCAGAAAGCTTTCCTGGTGTTCAAGAAGAGGATAGACCCAGGTGAGGAAAAGAGGTCCACTGAGGATTAGCAATAGAGAAGTGCCAGCAGAGACCCAAGAGAAGTCACAGCCCCAGGGCCCATGGATGTCCCACGGGTCTAACTGAAGGTCAGACAGGAAATGCCAGGGGAAATTCCCAGGATTGAACCCTGCTTTATCTCCTCCCACTACCTTTTCCTGTTTTGCTCTGGTCTGAAAGGAGGGAAAGCATATAAATAGCATAAAACACTCAGAGTTTGAGGGGTTTTTTCCTGAAGGCAGAGCAATAGCGTGATGCCTTCTCAAACAGCAACAATGAGTAGATGATGTGCACGTGGAGCTGACCTGGATGTGCCTCTGCCATTGATAACTGATGAACACAGACATTACCTCAGATCACTCAGGGAAAGACAGTTGTGCTTCCAGGAATGGGTCACCCCCACTTCTCACAGTCAGAGACACATTGTTCTCTCTGTCTCTCATATTTGGGAGGAGCCCTGACAACTGGTTTACACAGAAGAATTATTTTATGCAGGGCCAGATCTGCAATCCTGAGCCAAAGCTGAAGCTTTGAGGGGTAAAAAGAAAAGGAAGGGGTAAAGACAGGAGAGGGGAGGAGAAGGAAAAAGAAAAGGAAGGGGGGGGGGGGGGGGGGGCAGGGGACAGAGGAGACAGAAAAAGTATGTTAAAAAACAAAAAAGAAAAGAAAAAAGAAGAAACTCTCTCTTCGATGGCTCTGTTGCCCAGAGACCAACAGAGTCTGTTCTGCCAACAGATGCCAAATAAATTAGACATTTGGAATTATACATTGAGTGTTACTAATACCAGTACTACAACATTAATACCCGTATTTGAGTTAAATCCAGGAGTATGGTAGGAGTGGTGGTGAAATCTCACTATGCTTTTTCTGGGGTGCTAAGGTCAGCTAATAATATAAAATATAAAAATTAAAATAATAAGTTCTACTCACTCCATTAAATAGTTATTCATTTTACATTCAGACTAAAAATTTTTCTGATCAGCCAAGATCAAAGAAACAAACAATTTTCCATAATGTATTCATGGCATCCAGGCTGTGCCTAATCAATATGCTACTTACTTTTTACTTTTTTCCCATTTAAAGTGTAGCAAGAGTCATGACAACAATTTTTGCTACCAGACAAAAACCCCATGAAATAAATAAGTTAGGCCTGAATTGACCATTTTTTCTCTTTGTAGGAATGAATTAGGAACTGGATTAGTGTCTGTACACTTTGGGCAGGAAGGGACAATGGACTTTGAATAGGAATTCTATGAAATATTAACTTTGTGGTCTCCCTCCAACCCTTCCCGACTGGTCCCTCACCCTCGGCAGCACAGCTGGGCCTTGATGAGACAAAGACACTGAAAGCCCTGGGCGCCCTGGAGGGCAGCAGGACTCCCTCAAATGTCAGCAAAGCCCAGTGAAGGCCCCACTTTGGTCCAGGGAGCTTTTCCTACTCAATCCCTTCTGGCAGAACTGGACACAGCATTTGAGGGCCCTCAGCAGTGTCCAGCTTAGGGACAGTCACTGCCCAGGAAGCCTTGTGAGGAGAGGGTGTCACTGCTGTGTATTGCCAACAGTGATTCCACTGGGAATCACTGTTGGCAATGCCCAGAGAGGCAGCTGCAGATTGCTGATTGCTCTGCTGCACATAGTTCTGTTTGGGCAGGGTCACGCTTTTGTTGCTGGAGAAGCTGATATTCTTAAGGAAATCCCAGCAGGATTGAAGGACAGCTGTGTGAGAGTCTGTCCAAATTTTCCCTCATCTGCCTCATGATTGTCATTGGGGGAACACTGAAGAGAAGACCCCCCGTCTGAAAATCTCTGGCTCTAAAGGAGAAAGTCACGCGCCAAAGGCTTTGAGACCTGAAAGCACAGTGTTAAGCTATTTGTTTTCACAGGTGTTGTTTGCTGTACGCTAAGAAGGGGGCACCGTGCCCTGTTTGCAACAATAGCCTAGGAAGCTGTCCCACCTCTCAGCCTGGCTGGACTTCTTCTGAGTTCAGGTAGACTCCCACAGAAGACCTTCACCTGTTTTACAACCATCGTGACAGACAGACTGAGATGTAAGAAGCCTCTCCATCAAGGACTGAGACGTGAGACCCCTATGTGAGAAGGCCCCTCTCCTCCTTCCAAGGACTGGGACTGAAACCCTCAAGCCAGGGGAGGTGTGTGGGGGAGGCAAGCTGACCAAAGCGAGATGTTTGCCTGCAGGTCGTGACCCCTGGACCACAAAAACAATGACTCTCATTTACTGCTGAGAACAAAGACTACCTGTTACATCTATTACCTATTGTATCTGTTCCCCCCCCCCCACCCCTTCACAATTTTCAAAAATAAAAACCTCTGAGTTAGCTAGAGATTTTGAGATCTCCCCAGTGTAACAGGCAGATCCTCGACTGACTGGACCAAAGGACTTCATCTCTATGTTGGTAGCTATATCCCCCACTCTCTCTCTTTTCTCTCTCTTTCTCCATCTTTTTCTCTCCCTTAATCCCTGTATCGCATTTTGCTGTGGTCATTCAATAAAGGTGCATTTGCTTTGATTATTACTGCAAACCCCCTTGAACCGTGTCGGTTTTTTGCACCCTGAGATCCCTCCTACGAACCATCACGTCATCCGTTCACTAGGACGGATTGTGACAGCAGTGCACACTAGTGCTCCCAGTCCAGCCTGGGGCACTCCCCTGTCCACACCAGTGATCCCAGTCTAGACTATGGTGCTACCAGTCTGGCCCCCTGAGCTCGCTAGTTCACACCAGTGCTCCCAGTTCAGCCTGGGGTGCTCCCCAATCCAGACAAGGCGCTGACCAGTCGACACCAGTGCTCCCAGTCCAGCCCTCTGAGCTCCCCAGTCCATATCAGTGCTTCCAGTCCAGCCTGGGGCACTCACCAGTCCACACCAGTGCTCCCAGTTCAGCCTAGGGCGCTCCCCTGTCCACCTTGGGGCACTCACCAGTCCACACCAGTGCTCCCAGTTCAGCCTAGGGCGCTCCCCTGTCCACCTTGGGGCACTCACCAGTCCACACCAGTGCTCCCAGTTCAGCTCCCCAAAAGGTCCGTTAAGGTTTCGCTTTCGAGACCCCGCCCATCCCGCTCTGCCCCGCCCTCTCCCCGCCCCCATCCCCGCCCTGACCTCGCACCCTCCTGGCATCGCCTCCTTCGCCGCTCAACCCGCGCCGGCCTCCTCTGCTTAGCAACCGATGATGTCACCTCCGCCTTGACCAATCATGGACGTTACTCCAGGCGTGGGCGTGCCAGGCCGGGATTCCCGGGGATTCCCGCACGCGCGTTCCGGGAAACGGCGGCGGCTGCCGGGAAGAGACCGGGGCGGCATCGGCCACACCGGGACCGTCCGGCAGCGACACGGTCCGGACCGGGACACGCTGCGAGCAGCACCAGGACCCGCACGGACCCCCGGAACCACCGGCGGGAAGAACCGGGAGCAGGACCGGGAGCCAGCAGGACCAGACCGAGACCCACCGGGACACAGCAGCACCCACCGATCCCCGTGTCCCCGATGTTGTCTCCTCCCATTCGCCGCCTCCTGGCCCTGCTGGGCCCCGAGAGCGGGCGATAGACGCTGGTGGGGGGGGCTGATGTAGGCTTCTGCTCTCGGTGCGGGGGGACCCCGACCGGGGGGGCAGGACCCCCTTGAGGGGCTTTGGGATCCCATTTGGAGGGTTTGGACATGGCAGGACCCCTTTGAGGGGCTTTGGGATCCCATTTGTGGGTTTGATCATAACAGGACCCCCTTGAGGGGCTTTGGGATCCCATTTAGAGGGTTTGGACATGGCAGGACCCCCTTGCGGGGTTTTGGGATCCGATTTGTGGGCTTGGACATATCAGGAGCCCTTTGAGGGGTTTTTGGGATCCCATATGGAGGGTTTGGGCATGGCCCCCTTGAGGGGCTTTGGAAGTACTTGGGGGTGGCGGCAGGACCCGATGGGGGGTTACAAGGCCAATTTGAGGGGTCAGGACCCAATTTGGGGGAGGCAGAATCTGATTTGAGCGAGGTCAGAAACCAATTTGTGGGTCAGGACCCAATTTAGAGGTTTTGAGCACCTGGTTTGGGGAATCAGGATCTGATTTTGGGGCTCGACACACAGTTTTGGGAGTGGTCAGGATCCCATTTGAGGGGCTTTGGGATCTGATTTGTGGGTTTGGACATAACAGGACCCCCTTGAGGGGCTTTGGGATCCCCTGTGGAGGGTTTGGACATGGCAGGACCCCTTTGAGAGGCTTTGGGATTGAATTTGGAGGGTTTGGACATAACAGGACCCCCTTGAGGGTCTTTGGGATCTGATTTGTGGGTTTGGACGTGACTTGGGGGGGGGGCAGGACACAATGGGGGGTTGCAAGGCCAATTTGAGGGGTCAGAACCCAATTTGGGGGAGGCAGAATCTGATTTGAGCGAGGTCAGAAACCAATTTGTGGGTCAGGACCCAATTTAGAGGTTTTGAGCACCTGGTTTGGGGAATCAGGATCTGATTTTGGGGCTCGACACACAATTTTGGGAGTGGTGAGGATCCCATTTGAGGGGCTTTGGGATCTGATTTGTGGGTTTGGACATAACAGGACCCCCTTGAGGGGCTTTGGGATCCCATTTGGAGGGTTTGGACATAACAGGACCCCCCTGAGGGGTTTGGGATCCCCTGTGGAGGGTTTGGACATGGCAGGACCCCTTTGAGAGGCTTTGGAATCCCATTTGTGGGTTTGGTCATAACAGGACCCCCTTGAGGGGCTTTGGGATCCAATTTGGAGGGTTTGGACATGGCTGGACCCCTCTAAGGGGCTTTGGGATCCAATTTGGAGAGTTTGGACATAACAGAACCCCTTTGAGAGGCTTTGGGATCCGATTTGGGGGCTTTGGACATGGCTGGGGAGGGGGGCAGGACCCGATGGGGGGTTACAAGGCCAATTTGAGGGGTCAGGATCCAATTTGGGGGAGGCAGAATCTGATTTGAGCGAGGTCAGAAACCAATTTGTGGGTCAGGACCCAATTTAGAGGTTTTGAGCACCTGGTTTGGGGAATCAGGAACCGATTTTGGGGCTCGACACACAGTTTTGGGAGTGGTCAGGATCTGATTTGAGGGGATTTGAGATCTGATTTGTGGGTTTGGACATAACAGGACCCCCCTGTGGGGCTTTGGGATCCAATTTGGGGGGGGTGGACATGGCAGGACCCCTTTGAGGGGCTTTGGGATCCAATTTGGAGGGTTTGGACATAAAAGGATCCCTTTGAGAGGCTTTGGGATCCCATACGGACATAACAGGACCCCTTTAAGGGACTCTGGGATCTCATTTAGAGGGTTTGGACATGGCAGGACCTGATTTGAGGGGGTTTGGGATTTGATGTGGAGGGTTTGGACATGGCAGGACCCCCTTGAGGGGCTTTGGGATCTGATTTGTGGGTTTGGACATGACTTGGGGGGGGGCCAGGACACAATGGGGGGTTGCGAGGCCAATTTGAGGGGTCAGAACCCATTTGGGGGAGGCAGAATCTGATTTGAGTGAAGTCAGAAGTCAATTTGTGGGTCAGGACCCAATTTTGAGGTTTTGAGCATCTGGTTTGGGGAATCAGTATCCAATTTTGGGGCTCAACACACAATTTTGGGAGTGGTCAGGATTGATTTGAGGGGCTTTGGGATCTGATTTAGAGGGTTTGGACATGACATCACCCCTTTGAGGGGCTTTGGGATCCAGTTTGTTGGTTTGAATATAACTGGGCGAGGGGGGGCAGGACTCGATGGGGGTTGCAAGGCCAATTTGAGGAGTCAGAAGGTGGTAGAATCACCATCTCTGGATGTGTTTAAAAAAAAGACTGGACATGGCACTTGGTGTTAGGGCATAGGTTGGACTCGATTATCTTAGAGGTCCCCTTTAACCTCATTATTATATACTTAGCTGACCTCTTCATCTACTTCAGAGCAAAGTTTCACTTGCTGTGAAATTGTATCTGAAACATGAAGAGATTTTGATCAATGTCTTTCTAAAAAAAGTAACAGTGAAACTGTATTTAACAGTTACAGATATGAAACTGTGAGACTACTCATGAAAATTAAACCTTGACAATATATAAAACCTAAAGAAGGTGCATGGCAAATATTCCAATCGTACCTGAATCAGTGATTTTGCCACAGTTCGACACATCAAATGGCAGCTTAAAGTCATCATCTGAGCATCTGTTCAAACCCTGCACAAATTTAAAAATTAGTTCCTTATGGGCAGATTTGTAAAGAAAGAATTATTAAATCCAAGGGAAAAAAATCCCTACAGATGATGTGAAAATAGAATTGGTCATTAATAAAACAGCTGCCTACAAATTTCAAAGCCCAAGGTATTGGTAATGGCTTTGGAACTCACTTCTTCCTGCCCAGTGGTTGATCAAACTGTTGGTGTCCTGCAGTTTGATTTATATACTGTGGCCAAAGGGGAGCTTTCAATGCAGGGAACTCAGCAGCTCCTGCCTGTCTGGGCCCTGGTGCATGGCAAAGGACTCAAGGAGAAAAATTACTTTTTTGAAGACCAGTACTTGATATTTCTTTTTGGTTTACTTCCAAGGGCACTTCTAAACTATATCTGATTATGTTTCAGCATGAAAATACCCTTTTACAAGGTTTTTAAGTCACAGAAGTTCATCCTGTAAACAGCTAACTCATCTGCTGTCAGAATATCCTGTTGAATCTCAACATATTTCATAAGGAGCTTTGACATGAAAAAATAACTTGTTGAATTCCCATAACTCAGTGTGGGGACAGAACATTTTCACTGCACACCTGATCTGGTGAGACCAAGACACCAACACCAGTGCGAGCATCTGAGTGGGGCCTGTGGGAATCCATCAAATCAGAGGGGTTTGGGAAAGCTGCAAAAGGCAGCCTCAGAGACAGCAGAACTGTGATTAGAGCCAAGCAGGAGCCATGAGATAGGTCAGCAGAAAAATTATTTAAAAAGTAGAAAAGGACAAACAGAACAATGGTCTGTGTATTAATGCTTGTCTAGAAGAACTCCCTAAGTTACAGAAAAGTTTATCTAGCGAGATATTAGGAAGTTCTAAGCTTAATAATGGAGCTCCGTGCATTGTGTTTTAAGGCTTAAAAGCAGATATTGTATTCAAAATAAGCAAGCATTGTTTTAACCAAAGGTACGTGTGCTTATAGTGGTTGGATAGAACTACTGTCAATATGCTTTTGCTTTGTGTGATTGGTCAAAAAACTTTGAAAGTAAGTTGTAACATTAAGTTCTTTGTCTGCTGCCTGGGATGTGAGCTGCTGGCATCTTCCCATTGTCATCACCATGTAATGAGACTGATGCTGGAAAAGAAAACAGCTCAAGGCAGTTCCTCAGCAGTCCCGTCCCGTTTGTGATTTGTACACAGACCCCGGCCAGCGATAGAGCCCTGCTCGCTCTCTGGGCTCAATTACCCACATCAAACGCGGACTTACAGCACAGAGCGGATGCTCGAGAAGATGATTCCCTTCAGTTTTGATAGAAAACAACAACAAAAGTCTTTGAAATTCAAACCGAAGATGTCTGTGCATATGCCACTCCAGGCATACGCACAGAAACGAGTCCAGCGCAGGAGCCGTCCCGGCCCATGCAGGGGCAGGTGTGTGTGTGCTCCAGCTCGGGGCTCTGCCGGGCACTCCCCGGGCCCAGCACTGTCCCCGTGTCCCCGGGGAAGGGCCCCTGCGCTTTCCCCCCGTCCCTTCCTCAGCCGCGGCCTCCAGAGCAGCAGAGCCCGAGGGGGCGGCCGGGGAGGGGGGGTTTGGGGCCGCCCTCCGCGGCCCCGCGGCCGAGCGCTCACCTGGGATCTGCCCGCAGACACCTGCCCAGCGCTCAGGCGCGGCGGCATGAACAATTTAAAGCGGTTTTCCTTCTCCATAGCTCCGATAAAAGGGCGGCCAGGGCTGCCCCAGCTCCCGGCGGCCGCTGAAGGCGGGCGCGAAGGGCGGGAAGCGGCAGCGGCCCCTCAGCGCGGGGACGGGGGCGCCGCCTAGCGGAGCTCGCAGGGCACGGCCTGCGAGCGGCCGCCGATGGCTCCGCCGCCAGCCCCGATGATGGCCCTGATGGCCCCGCGGCCGCCGTGACAGAGCGGGGGCCGTCATCGGGGCCAGCGGCGGGGCCATCGGCACCATCGGGGCCATCGGCGGGGCTTGCTCGTCGCCCGTGGACGCCAGGGAGGTCTCGGGGCAGCCTGGGGGCCGGGCGGGTTGGCGGTGTCGCCGTGGTCGCCGGCCGGGGATAGCACAGCGGGACTTAGGCCGTCGCGGGGAAGGCAGGAGAGGTCTGAGGAGAAGGGGAGGTCCCGCCTGTACAGGGAATAACTGGGGGAGCCCAGTCCTCCTGTGGGAAAAATGAGTATTTTATGATTGGCTTTTCGCAAATATTCAAATGAATATTATATGTGTTATGTCAGAAAGTTATGCTGTATTAATTTTCTTAAGTAATGTGTTAAATCTAGTTTTAGGTTATAACGTAATTTTAAAATAGAAACCATGCTATGTGAGATACTGTTTCTAAAGAAAGGACTTGCAGCAAGATAGCAGCCACAGGACACCTAAATCTTTCAGAGAAAGATAATTTGTTGCTCTCTTATCAGAAGAAACAAACTTCTTCCTGCCTCACTCAGCCCTGAAGACGCCGTCAGGATTCAGAGGAAGAAGCTGACACTGACCAGACAGAATCCTTGGTTTGAATGGAATTTATGCATCATGTATGAGGTGTATGATGAGGTGTAATATGCAACAGGTTATTGTTTTTAAGGGTTAATCCTCTGGTAAAGTGTGTCTTTTTTCAGGCTTATTTTCCCCAGAAAAAGGTACCCGGATGTCCGTAACTCTTTGTTTCTATTGTCTCATATTGTCCTAATCCAAATTATCCAAGTTATTATTACTCTACTTATATTGCTATTTTATAACCATTTTATTACTATTAAACTTTTAAAATTTTAAAAAACAAGTGATTGGTGTTTTTCACATCCTATCACCTCCCCATGTTGTAAATGGCTCCCCCAGAAACATTAGTATGTGGGATGTTGTGTGTTGGGCACTGTGTGTAAAACAATTGTGATGGTTGGTGGCCATGGAAAGCTGCCCTGGGCCCCGTGCTCAGGGCTGGTGTCAGTGCCCAGAGCCAGAGGGGATCCCTTGCTGGGGGCTGTGCCATGGCCACCTGCCCTGTGCCGCGCTGGCCGCTCAGGCACCAGGAACCAGCAGCCAAGGGCACTGCCAGGGCCAAAGGCCAGGTCAGCCAGACAGAAAGGGGCAGGGCTGGGCACTGTTTCCATGGCAACCGGCACTGGGGGGGACACCTGGGTCACCTGGCCTGGCAGTTGCCATGGAAAGCCCTGGCAGGCACTGAGGGCACAGCCCCTGGCACTGAGACACTGCTGGGCCGGGTGCTGAGCACAGCGCTGAGCACGCAGAGATGGTTTTGTTCTTGCTGAGCTGCAGCACAGCCAAGGCCTGTCCTGCCCCTCGTCCAGCCACGCTGGGGAGGGGCTGGGGCTGCGGGGGAGCTTGGCAGGGGACACAGCCAGGACAGGTGACCCCAACTGACCCCAGGCACAGCCCAGACCAGAGCACATCATGCTCAGGGTATGAAGGGGGGGAACAAGGAGCAAGGGGGCAATTTTGGAGGGAGGCTTTTTGCCTTCCCAGCTAACACTTAGGCAAGAGGGGGCCCTGTTTCACCAGTGGGCAGGGTCACTACCAAAGACACAGACACCAACTTAAGGAATTGTGTCATTTATGTCACGGCACAGCTGCAAAGAATTACAAAAGGATAAGCTCAGCAAAGCACATCATCATTAGCAAAGAATTACAAAAGAAGCTCAGCAATCCTTCAGAACTCATCATTACATTTTGATGACTAACCCCTTGGTCAAACACTAGAGGTGTTTGTGGCAGACAAAGATTCTGGCTGACTATCAAGGTACACCTTACAGACATCAGTACTACTTTAGTGACACTGTTCTTCATTCTTTTTTCTCAATCTCCTTGGAGTTAGGAACAAGAATTCTGTTGTCCATGGAGCTGGCACCTTTTTAATTCCAGAATAATGCCCCCAGGCCCTTTGCTGTTCAGCTTTACCATGTTGTCTGGGGCTAACAAGACCTGGGGGGGCCCTTTCCCCTCTGGCTGGAAGGGGCCGGGTCCCAGTCCCTGAGGGGCACCCGGGCTCCTGGATGCAATTCCTGTGCAAGTCCCTCACTGCTCAGTGTCACAGCAGCCTTCACATGAAGCCCCGTGGATCAGAGCATTTGCCAAAGGGGCCCTTGGGGCAAACAGGGAGATTTGGTCTGGCAGCATGTGTAAAACAATATCCTGTCAGATCTACTTGTTCTCACACACAATCCTTGGCTGCAGGGACACATTCCCATTGTTCCTGCCCAACTTTCATGACTCAGAGTTGTCTTTCCCAGGAGCTGCTCCTTCAGCTGCCTCGGGAGGGCCATTTGGCCTCCGGACCCACACTCTGGCTCCATTATTAGGACTGCTGCATCCAAACCCTTTATCTCCACAAACGGTGGTGATTGCAGCTGGAGCTCCTTTTTTCACAATCGTTCTTACAATTGCAATATTAATAATTGTGCTACCCAGTCATGGGGTTGAATAATCCAATCCTGGTCACTATTGTTTAACAGAATTACTGTAATTTCTCCTTGATATTCTGCATCAATTCCTCCTGCCATGACATGAACATTTTGCAAGGCCTAGCTCCAAGGGAGCAGTTACCAAAACAATGTGTCCTGGAGGAATCTGAATTCCTGTTTCAGTATTGATAGCTCTTATTTGCTTTGAATTTCTCCTCATGAATTCCAATGCATGAAGGCCCAGCCCTGCAGCCTCTGGGCTGGCCCTGCCAGGGGCCATCACAGCCAGAACAATTTCCCAGGCAGTCCAAGTCTCACTGCCCATGGTTGGATTTGAAAACTGGGGGCAGCCGTGCACAGCCAGGGGTTTCCATTTCCCCCGTGGGCATTGTTCAGGGCATGGAGCACATCTGGGAGATGGGTTCTCCATGGGCAAAGGTTCCCATCTCCTCATTTTTTCAACTGCTCTTTTAACAACCCCTTCACCCGTTCAACCAATCCTGCAGCTTGTGCATAGTCTGGGACATGAAAAACCCTGCAGGCTTCATCACTGTATTTTTCACAGCAACAGACAAAGTACTCTGCATCACGGTATCAGCAAACCCTGGGGAAATAGCCAATTTCCTCCCTTCCTCCTTTTTTCATTGTATACAGTCTCACAAAGTTGACCACTGACATTAGGGTCCTGGCCAATCCTGTTCTGTGGGGTATTTAGTGTTACATCCCTGAGCAGCCAAAGCTACCAAATTAGTATTGTCAGCACTATTTCACATTATTATTATTTTATACGTAGATAGTGATATAGAACTATAGATATAGCTAGATATGGACATCTATAAAAGATAAATATATATATTAAGGTCTTATTATCCTATAAATATATATAAAGTTATTCATTGTATTAATATTTCACTTGCAGAAATGCATCTGAGCTCAAGATTAAAACCTTCTTCTCTTGCTCCATGTGGGAGCATTCCAACAATAATTGTTCCTTCTGAAGCTGCTGTTTCCAATGGACTCTTAACAAATTCATCTTTGTCTGCCCAAACCCACAAGTCCTTTTCCTTTTCCATATGCAATTTTTGGATGCATTTGAAGACATCCAGGGCTGCAGCTTCTTTTACCCGACTGCCCCACTGCTCCCACGGGGCTCCCACCTCAGCCCACTCCAGAGCCAGGGAACTCCAGGGAAGGGCTTCCCATCTGGGAATTTCTGATGGCACTGATTCCTCACATTGACACTGAACAAGTGACATTTGGTTGGGATCTGGCCAGACTGGGCCAGTTTGGTTTGACCAGTGGCCAAAGTCAGCACCAAAGACACAGACTCCAACTGAAGGAATCAGTGTCATTTCCTGCAGTTCAGAGCAGCAAAGAATCACAAAAGGAGCAGCTCAGCAATGCACCCAATCATCCCCACCAAAGATTGCCTGCAGTGATTAAGAAAGATGCAGCAGCATTTACCCTCAGCCTTTCCCATCCCCCAGATGCACACAGCAGCTGGGGAAGCTGTCACGGCCAAGGGCTGCAGAGCCACTCCTGGGCACTGGCAATTCCTGCAGGTGCCTCCAGCCCCAGCTGAGGCTCCAAGCCCGCTGGGAGAGGGCCCAGCTCTGACAGTGCTGAATGAAAAAACTGACAGCACTTCTAGCGTGGCAACATCTGCTTTCATCCTCCTCTTGGCTCCCTCCCAAAGCCTGGCCAGGCCTCAAGGAGGAGCCAAGGCAGCTGACTTTGATCCTTCAGCCCCACACAAGGCCAGATGTCAGATTTCATGGCCTTCTCTGGCTTCTAAATACACAAAGGTCCATCCATGTTTCACTAAGGAGTGGCTACATCTATCACAGTGCTAATGACCATGCATATCTCATCAGGGACCAGATACAAAGATAACCTTTGCTTGGAAGGTTCCTCCAGAGGCCACCTTGGGCTCAGGGCCTGCTGTCCAGGCCTCACTCAGGGCTGCTGTCCAGGCCTTGGCACTTCAGGGACGTGCTTTAGTGCTGGGCTTGGCACTGCTGGCTGAGCAGCTGCACTGGGTGAGCTCAGAGGGCTTTTCCAACAGAAAGGATTCTGTGATTCCATGATGATATCCGCTGCATTCAGCTGGGGCTATTTTAGCAGCATTACTTTGCTCCAGAAGTTCCCTCTTGCCCAGCTCCTGTGGCCTGAGGCTTCAGCTCCTTCAGCTCCTGGTGCTGAGCTGCTCATGCTGAACGAGAGCACTCGGAGAGACGAATCCAGTCCATCCAATTCCTTCTGGGACATGGAGAGGGGAGGCTGTGCAAACAGGAGCATTGTTTGCTGTGGCCTCCTCTCTGCCCTTCATGCCTTTCAGCGCTTTGAACCAGCCAAGAGCTTTCTCCAGGAGTGCAACGGAGCAGCTGTTCCTGCTCACGGGCCTGGCTCTTCCCAATCTCTGCCCTTGCCTGCTTCTGTCCCTCTTGCTGTGCCCTCTGTTCCCCAGGGCTGGCTGGCTGCTGCCCAGGACTGTGGAACTGGCACAGATCCAGTGCTCCAGAGCCTCCTTTCTGTGCCCTTGGAGCTGCCTGGGCACAGCAGCCTTTTCCATCTGCAAGCTCCCCATGGACAGGGAGTGCCCAGCTCCGTTCCTTGCACAGCCTCCAGGAGCCCAGGGCTGCCATCTCAAGTCCCTGCTGGCACTGGGGGCTCCCAGGTGCCTCAGGCTGCTGTGACACCGCTGCACACGGGAGGGAACAGGGGCAGGGTCTGTGCTGAAAGTCAGCTCCATCTGCTGCTGCTGCTGCTGCTGCTGCTGTGGGGTCATTTGTGCAGCCCTGGCCCAGAGTCAGGGATCAGATGCTGCCAGTCTCTTCCAGCCCTGGCTGCTCAGAGGTTGGGCCTTGGAGCCTCAGGTGGCCAAAGGCAGCTGCTGCTGGGCCCTCTGTGTGTGCCCGTGTTCAGCAGTGCTGCTCCATCAGTCTGTGCCCAGCAACGGGGAAAAGCCTCAGCCCTGCAGGGCCAGGAGCTGCCGGGCTCTGCCTGAGCAGCTCAGCCAGCAGGAAGAGAGCTGCTCCACACAGGAACCAGGAGAAAAGGACATTCCTTTTGTAGGACATGTTTTCTATTTAAAGAAAAAAAAGGGAAAAGGAAAAAAACTATATAAATTGTGAAAGATGAAAACAAAACCCAAGTGTTAGTGAAAAAACTTCTGTAACTTTGCTTTAAGAGGTAAATGATCTTTTTTAAAGGGGAACTCAGTTATCTTCATTGTAAATGTGCTGATGGCATGGATCCATCTTACTGACCTCAGCAGCCTTTTAAAAGATTTTGGGCTTTGTTTCCAACATCGCCATTTGAAATTGTGATCAAAGCAAGAGGAAATTGCTTTGTGCCCTGCCAG